TGATTTACCCACAGTGGACGAGATGATATGATGAGATGCCCTTAGAGGCTTGATGATGTTATGAACGCATATACCCATGCATGGTATGACATTCATACGCATATGCATGACATTATAATACTGAATGATTCACAAAGTTATTCAGTTATACATGTTGAGTCTTTTACTCCATGTTTCTCTCATGTCTATTATTTACTGATTTTCATTCCTTACATACTCGGTACATTATTTCTACTGACATCNTTATTGACGTACGTACTTCTCATGCATTGCATTCATTCATACATGTACATTGACCCATGACCAGATGGTGTTATATATGCGAATATATATATATATATATATATATATATATATATATATATATATATATATATATATGTATGTATGTATGTATGTATGTATGTATGTATGTATATGGGATATGGGAAAAGGTTACGGAAATATATACGCACCACCACCTGATCAGCTGGTATACGTTGATGATTTTGCCCACAGTAGCCGAGATGATATGATGGGATGCCCTCAGATCCTTGATGATGTTATGAACGCATATACCGATGCATGGCATAACATTTATACGCATATGCATGACATTATAATATTAAATGATTCACAGAGCTTTTTAGACTTACACGTCGAGTCTTTTACTCCATGTTTCTCTCATGTCTATTATTACTAATTTTCATTCCTTACATACTCAGTACATTATTTGTACTGACGTCCCTTTTGCTTGGGGACGCTGCGTTTCATGTCCGCAGGTCCCGATAGACAGGTCGAGAGTCCTCCAAGTAGGCTATCAGCTCAGCGGAAGATTTTGGTACACTCCATTTGCTTCGGAGTTGCTTATTTGGTCAGTATAATTAAGACATGTATTGATTGGTATGGTGGGGCTCAGTCCCGATCATTGTGATACTTATGTACTCTTAGAGGCTTGTAGACAGAAGTCATGTATACAGATACTTTTATGGCCTTGCTGGCCTATGTTTTGAGTTTAGAAATGGTTATGTTGCCTTATAGGCCCGTATGTCACATGTATAAGTGTTTATATTAGGTTAGGTCGTCCTATATTGAGTATTCTCCTATGTTTATACTGGCTAGCCCATGACGGTCCGTTTGGCCCATTTGCCAATGAAAGTATGATAAGAAAGATATGTTATGTTGGTACTCGGTTGAGTAAGGTACCGGGTGCCTGTTACGGTCCATAGGTTTGGGTCATGACATCTTCCTTATTATTCGACCAAGCTCACCACAACTTCTTGTATCTACAATAAGTGAAATGATATTGCCGTTAACATATAATGTCGTACCATCATATTTGGCTAGTCGTATGACTTAAGGAAGATCGGGCAGCAACTCCCCTATTTTTTTAATACATCCCAAAGACCACTAAGGGTCATCAATATCCCAACAACAACAACTATAACCAACACTAGCAACAACAACAATATAATCTAATATGAGTTTCTCCAATTATCTTAACAATCATATTGAGTGGCGAGCTCGTTTTTTCTCATAACAAGATATAAACTGAATCCAACTCTTATTCCATAATTTAGCTTACAACCTTTAGAACATCATACTTATATGTACCATATTATTTCTAGTTTAAAACATCCATAAAATACCTTCCAAAACAGCCCCATACGTCTAGCACCTTAATTTTTTATCGTCAATCACTTGTTTTTCATCTTTTCTTCTGCAATCAACTTAATTAACACCTAGAAAAGCTTAACAACAGCAGCCACAATATTATTAAATTATTTCACATAATTTCCAGCCATCACAAACCATATATTTAGCCACAAAACAGTCCAACCAAAAGACTACCATATCCCACGTTCTTTCAAGTGCTATCTTATGGTTTTTCACTCAAACAACACAACCAACACAAGATTAACCTTAGGAACAATCAAGAAGATGTTATACATACCTTGTACAGCAGCTATAACTCGAAACCCTATCTCAACTTAGCTCAGAATAGCCCTCAATCACACCACAACATCATAGAAGCATTCTCTTGGAGTCTTTAACACCTTTGATGATGATTTGTGTTGATTTCTCTTGAGTTTGGTTCTTGGGATCTTGGACCAGTTCTTGGAGAGCTTGAGAGTTTTTTGGTGTAAGAAATCTCTGGATATTGACGAATTGTAATGGGTAAAGACAACTTATAAGCCCACCGCCTCAATTCACCAAGCAGGTGGGTAAGCTGCATGCTTGGCAACTTGAGCAGTGCAACTTCGGACACTTGTATCTCTCTACTCTGATATCGTATTGACAAACGGTTTTAAGAGTTAGAAACTAGACACATGGAGCTTTAATTCCATATAAATATCTAGTTGTAACTCTCAATAGAATGGGAGAAAACTGCGTCGCAACTTGGCCTATAAACCTGCCAGTTTCTCTAAAACATGACTTGGCGACCCTAACTTTAAAAATCCATATTCCTCAACCCCGATGTCGTACGAATAAATGGTTTGGACCGTTGGAAACTAGGTTCCAAGACCTTAATTTTGGTATGAGGTATGCCCCAAAATAACATCATAAAGCTTACGAATTTAATTTCTCAAAACGGCTCGTTACAAGGCAAATCTTAGCTCGATTTTTTCGTAAGTTAAATCCAATTTTTCCCAAACTTTATATTTTATATCTAAACATCAATTGACTTACGACGTATTCTATGTACGAAAACATGAGGCGTAACAGAGACAACTCGTGCATATCTTGACTAATTTCACGGATTAGCTATTTACACTTAATTCTGCAAACAATTTCACATCTTTATTTTTATATTTAAAAAAATATGACTTATAATAAAACAACAATTAAGTATTCTTTCTGTCCATTCTCATAGGCACTTCTTTCTTGCATTCATTCTTTTTCTGAATTTAGGGATGGAATTATATGGTTTGTAAGGGTTCAATTGAATCCCTTGTGGAAGTATTATGCTGGGAAAATAGTACTGAAGCAGTTTTAGATTAAGACAATTTACATCATTACTTTCTTAGAATATTTCTTGACGATGGAAACTTATAAAATCAAGTGTGTACGAAAAATTAGTTGAACTTCTCTAACTTGAGTAAACTAATTTTACTTGTCCAGTTGATCTGCAATAATTTTCATGATAGTGAATATTTTGTGTGATTTTTGGCTAATTCATCGGTCAGCCTATAATCTACAAGCACAAGTGTCAAGTATATCTGCTTACTAAAATTGAAATAGATGTATTAACCCTAAATATTGTAGTTAGGGATCGAACCTATGATCAAGTGATTCACTGTGGTGTTGAAACAATAATTCAAAAAGTTGATGGATATGAATGCAGTCAATGCACTAAAGTTTGAAGTACAAGTAATCAATGCCAAGGGTACATGAGGAGCTCCAGCTGTTAGGTGTGACATATGGTGACTTCATCCTTACGAAGCAGGAAACTCTTTTTACCACTTTTGTGTGGCCTAATTTTTAACACATTAACAAAACTTTCTTACCTTTTTGGTCCAAAATTTACCCAATTCATGCTTTTGAAGTCCTCCCACCGTCCAGTAATTTCTGCACACAAATTCTACTTTTTTTTTTTTTTTTTTTTTATTTCACTTCAGTCTCTGCAATATGAATATGCAAAATGATTTCAACTTTCACCAAAACAATGGAATAAAACGACGACATTGTCATATAGCATGAGGAAAATTAGGAATTAAAAATAATTAAAAAAAATTAAATATTACTCTTCTTTTTTCCCAAAAAGAATTATACTACACAAAATAAATACATCAATATCATACATAAAATATTCTTTTTGAGGAGTAATTAATTATAATTTAATAAATGCTTAAAAGAAAACTTTTGTCCAATGAGTTACACGCGTGCGATAATCATTGTCAAAAAGTTCGAGGCTTTTCCAATTAAAATCAGACTTCGAATTATTGAGTTTTGCACATTCGGAGAGAGATATATCACAAGACATATAACTCTGTTATCAACTAATCTCAATTCAGTTGTAATTCCTTATTGTCTATACGTAACTTAATCTTTTCAAGGATAAAAAAAGACATGCACTTAAGGGTAAATTCTTAACATGCAGACTTGTTTAGTGTGTGATATAAAGATGAAATAAATTTGGTATGAAATTTGATATTGCTTTATTCAGCGTTTACTTTATATTTTAATTTTTGTTATAAAAGAGTAAAAAAGAATTATTGCAAAGAAAGAGAGAGAATTGTTATAAATAGAATTGTATTTAAGGTGAATGTCTATATTTTAGAGAGATTTTAGGATTTGTTACTTGGTGGTTAAGTCATTTTTTCCCTATAACAATTTTTAAATAGTAAATCAAAGTATAATTTAATACAACAATAGTTATCTTATTTATACCTAATATAACATGGGATAACAATACATGGATTAAGTATGGATAATCACTAAAAGACAAAATTACCTTTTGTTTGTTCCCTGAAACAATTATCAACTCTCTATATATATCCCATTTTTGGTATAAAAGCTAAATGCCTAAGAAAAAATAATCTCTATATCATAACCCTAACATTATTAATTCATGTACTACTAATTTTTGTGTAAAAAGTTTTAAACTAAACAACTTGTTAGTGTTCGAATCAAACTGACAAATTAAAATGCATAACTTACTTTAACGTGTGATTCTTAAACTATATTATTTAATTTGGTGCAAACATCGAATAATATATATATATGTATATATATATATATATATATATATATATATATATATATATATAAAAGGGCACATCTACCATGTATTTTTACCTGTTGTAATTTTGTCCAAAGTCTATATAGATTAAAAAAAGTTAGTAAATATTTAATTTTGAATCCAAATATATATTATCTTGAGGTCATTACATGGAATCATAAACTTCAAATGCTTAATTGGTAGATGAATTTAGAAAAAATGTGGACCTAAATAGATAGTATTTGAAAAGAGAAGCGTCAAAGCAAAGGAGATTGAGTCTAATTTACGCAAAATGGGTCGTCCATATTCTATTCCCTTATCTTTCTAAAATCAAAAATCTCCTCTCCTTTCTTCAATTACTATAAAGAAACCACACTTTCCCTCTTAACATACCACACCCCCTACCTACTTCTCCTCTTGTTCTTGTTCTTGTTCTTGTTCTTGTCTCTCTCTTCTTTCTTTTGTCTATTAACTCATTCTACAATTTGCAAATGGCAGATTTTGAATAATACTATTAAGTACTTATATATTGTTTTATTTTTAAGTTGCAATTATATTAATTCTTCTTCTTTTTTGTGGATGGAGAAGCTTAATTTTGTGAAGAATGGTATACTGAGATTGCCTCCTGGATTTAGGTTTCGTCCAACTGATGAAGAGCTTGTAGTTCAGTATTTAAAGCGTAAGGTCTTGTCTTTCCCCTTGCCAGCCTCTATCATCCCTGAGGTGGAAATTCACAAGTCTGATCCTTGGGATTTGCCAGGTCCGTTCACACCCATAAGAAATGTGTTCATGTCCCAAAGCATTTGAGTTTTTTTTCAAATTAATCATATGGTGTTCAAAATTAATGGCATAATTAGTGTCAAGTATAGCCTCTTAAAAGAGAAAAATTATTCAAGTTATGATTTTGAGCAGAGGTGGCTAATTGGCAGGTTATTTCAAATTTGGACAAGTCAAACGAGTCAAAACAATAAAATTATCATGACCCAACTCGTCCAAAGTATATTTGAATCAAATAATGATTAATGAAAATCGTAACTCACCCACCCAATCTGAATCAACCTCTCTTCCTTCTCTATTTCTTTTTTTTTTTTTTTGTTAAAAATAAATTGTGAAATGATCAAGTAGTACTAGGGGAAAAAAGAAAGTAAACCCAAAGCACAAAAAAACTTGATTATCTTGGATAAGGAAGCTAGAGAGCAATTTCTTTAGAATCTGAAGTTTCTGGGTTCAGGATTTTAGTCATTTTAAGTTATTGAGTTATAAATTAATAAATAAATAATTTGAACATATTAAATAAATTTGTTAAGACTAAAATTGGGCTGAATTTGTATTTTGAACATGAGTTCAGGTGATTTGGAGGAAGAAAGGTACTTTTTTAGCACAAGGGAGGTGAAGTATCCAAATGGGAACAGGTCAAATAGAGCAACGAACTCAGGCTATTGGAAGGCAACAGGAATTGACAAGCAAATAGTGAGTTGCAAGGGCCAACAATTGGTAGGATTGAAGAAAACTCTTGTCTTCTATAGAGGCAAATCTCCACATGGTTGCAGAACCAATTGGATTATGCACGAGTATCGTCTTCCTAATCTTGAAACTATTTCAATCCTACCCAACAACAACCTTACGCAGGTGAATTTTTGCTTATTTTAGGCTCCCATAGTTTTCCTCTCCAAATCTTCAAAAGTCTTTTTTTCTTAAAACTTGCTTCAAATCAAACACCTCTATATTAACTTGGTGAATTAATCTGGTGCAGGAAAACTGGGTTCTCTGCCGCATATTCTTAAAGAGAAAAGATGGTAAAAATAAGGAGGAGGACATAACACATCAGGTGTTTAATAGCAGAAACACAAGTGCAAATTCAGGGAATAAGAAGAAGGCAGTCTTTTACGATTTTATGGCCAGAGAGAGGGAAGATTTGAATGGATCAGTTCCAGCTTCAACGTCATTTTCTGGTTCCAGTGGGATCACTGAGCTGACTGCTAATGAATCTGATGATCACGAAGAAAGTAGCAGCAGCTTTAATAGTTTTACTAGAAGAAAACAATGTCCTTAGAATAGATGGCCTTTCCTTCTTTTTTTTCTTTTCTTATTTTTACCTTAATTTCAAGTGCTAAATTCGATTTTCCCGTGGCATTCCATTGGAATAAGCATCTAGATTTCGACTTTCTTCATCTCATCACTATATCGGAGCAAACGAGACCCGATAATAATATAATTAATATAAATATACAACACACATGCCGATTCAAAACTTTTAGCCATTAGATGCGCCCACTTCTGTAGCAGTATTGGAACTTAATATAAATGCGTATTTTCAGAAAACATTTTAACTATATAGACAAGCGAATAATGGTTGTGACTGTATCTGCGAGAAACAAAAATGGACATTTGGCATTGGATATGAATTTCACTATTATTCGTACAATACTCCCACAACTGTTTTTTTAGCGGATTTTCACATGCAAAATCGGGTTTATTATCTCGTGGCTGAATTTTGTCCTTAACCTAAAACTCGTAGGAACTTGGAACGTATCTTGTATCCTTCTTGCGAGTTTACACCTTCTCAAGGTTGCTTCAAGGTTTTTGATTCAGGCTTGATTTTTGGCTCTTTTACTTCTTTGTCTATATGTATAGTCCCCCAAGTGTTAGAGCTTTGAAGTATGAAATCTTGAACACCGGATTGCTCCTTCTTTTTGGTCCATTCCATGAAAAGGAAAATACACACGAGACTCGGAGATATACATTTAGATGATGACTGCTTAACCCCTTTTTTTCCATCAGAAAGGTTGTAACCTAGACTGAGAATAATTCAGTATTTCGCGTGTCTTTCGGGTCTAATATCATCATTTGGTACGGGCTAGCTTTTTGCATATCATCTAAAATTGTTAGTAAAATTCAAAAGAACAAAATAAAATTATATCTGAGTGATACCTGACCATGGGTATTTTCTTTGTCTAGAAGTAATACTTTTTCAAATCAACAACGTTCCAATTTGATGGTAGTATGCAGCCATTCATGGTCTCCAACTCATATGCTCCCTTTCCAGTGATGCCTCAAACCCTATAAGGGCCTTCCCAATTTGGACTTAACTTTTCCGCATTAGCCGATTTTGTTGATCGAAACACCTTTTTGAGGACGAAGTCCCCAATCTTGAAGTATCTCATATTTTCTTTCCTGTTGTAATATCGTTCAATCATCTGTTTTTGAACAGCCATCCTTATTAGCGTTGCTTCTCTCCTTTCCTCTAATAAATCTAGATTCGTTTGCATTTTTTCTTCATTTGATTCCGTAGTAGCATGTGTGTATCTCGTACTTGGTTCACCTATTTCTACTGGAATTAGGGCTTCAGTGCCATAGACGAGTGAAAATGGAGTCTCGCCCGTACTTATTTTGCTGTTGTTCGATAAGCCCATAATACTCCTAGTAACACTTCTGGCACTTGCCTTTTGATTCTTATAGTCTCTTTTTCAAATTATTAATAATAACTTTGTTTGTTGACTCAGCTTGCCCATTGGCTACGGAAAGGTAAGGCGCACCATGTAATCCATTTAATCTGCTAACTCTGAAAGAACTCTGTGATTTTCGTGCCTATGAATTGTGGGCCATTGTCACACACGATTTCCTTTGGAACTCCAAAACGACAGATAATGTTTTGCCAAATAAAGTCCCTGACTTCTTTTTCTCGCACCTGTTTGAAAGCTCCTGCTTCTACCCATTTTGAAGGATAATCCGTTAAAACTAATAGAAACCGTACCTAACCTTCAGCTTGAGGTAACGGACTTACGGTTTCCATGCCCCACTTCATGAAAGGCCATGGCGAGATAACTGAATGTAACAATTCTGCTGGGCGATGCATGTTATTGGCATATTGTTGACATTTATCGTACTTGGCTACAAAGTTTTCTGCTTCCTCCTCCATTTTTGGCCAAAAGTATCCCGCTCTTATTAAAGTCTTCACCAATGATCTTCCCCCAGCATGATTGCCGTAGTGACCCTCATGTGCTTCCCTCATCACATATTCTATTTGTGAGGGACCAAGGCGCCGTGCTAAAGGTCCACCGAACATCTTTCGGTATAATTTTCCACCAATTAAACAATACCAGGCGGCTTTTTGGTGAAGTATCTGTGACTTCTTCTTGTCTTCGGGTAAGATTCCGTACTGCAAAAAGTTCACAAACTCGTTCCTCCAATCCCAAGTTAAATTATTAAAATTTACCTCGTTCTTGCCTTGGTCGAGTGCCGAATGAAACAAATGTATTGCAATAGCGTTTTCGGCATTCGTTATCTCCATAACAGACGCAAGATTGGCCAACGCATCTGCCTCTGCATTCTCCTCCCTGGGTATTTGGACAACCTTCAATGATTGAAATTGTTTGACTAATTCCCGTACATTTTCCAAGTATTGTTGCATTCGTGCCTCTCTTTCTATGTAAGTTCCCTGCATTTGGTTAACTACTAGCTGCGAGTCACTTTTGATTACAATATGTTCTATGCCAAGTTCTCGTGCTAATTCCAGACCTGCAATCACAGCTTCGTACTCTGCATAACATTTTATTGCTTGTCTTATGACTTCCCCTGAAGGTGGAATTAAAAAAATACCTAGGCCCGCTCCTTTAACACTCGAGGAACAGTCAGTAAATAAAATTCAAGTCCCCGGATTAGATCCGGTAAATACCTGTAACTCTGCTTTAGGAATTAAATTCGTGCTGAAATCTGCTAAAACCTGCGATTTTATTGTAGTTCTGGGCTAATATATGATATCATACTCACTGAGTTCTATTGACCACTTAGCTAACCTACCGGATAGTTCTTGTGTATGCAATTTATTTCTCAGGGGGGAAAGCAGTCATTTTAGAGATAGGATAACATTGAAAATAAGGTCTCAACTTTCTATATGCCATAATTAATGCTAAAGCAAGCTTTCTAGATGAGGGCTTCATGTCTCAGCATCTAACAAAGATTTACTAACATAATATATTGGAGATTGTTTACCTTTATCCTCTCGTACGAGCACCGCACTTACCGCCACCTCTGACACAACAAGGTAGATAAACAGCCTTTCTCCGTCTTTTGGTTTGGCTAGCAAAGGTGGATTTGACAGATACGATTTTAGGTCCTTGAGGGCTTGTTGGCATTCATCAGTCCATTCAAAATGATTCTACTTTTTCAATACTGAAAAGAATTTAAAACTCTTTTTCGATGATATTGAAATATATCTCCCAGGGCTGCTATTCTTCCTGTTAATCTCTGTACTTCTTTTTTGCTTGTGAGTACATCCGGTACTTCCTCGATAAATTTGATTTGTTCAGGATTTACTTCAATTCCCCTGTTAGAAACAAGAAAACCTAAAAACTTACCTGAAGATACGCGAAAAATACATTTTTCTGGATTTAGCTTCATATTGTATTTGAGGAGAATTTGGAAAGTATCTACAAACGTTGGAAATGATCTCCCGCCTGTGCCGATTTGACTAGCATATCGTCAATGTATACTTCCATAGTCTTTCCCAGATGTTCTTGAAACATTTTAGTTACCAATATTTGGAACGTGGCTCCATCATTTTTTAGACCAAAGGGCCTGACTTTGTAACAGTAAGTCCCCCTGTCTGTGATAAATGATATTTTTTCTTCATCTATAGGATCCATCTTTATCTGGTTATATTCTGAGTATGCATCTAAAAAACTTAACAGCTCATGTCCTGCGGTAGAATCAATTAGTTGATCTATGTGCGATAAAGGGAATGAATCTTTAGGACAAGCTTTATTTAAGTCAGTGTAATCTACGCAAACTCGCCATTTTCCATTCATTTTTGGTACTACCACAGTATTAGCTAGCCAGTTAGGATATTTTACCTCTCGTATTGACCCAATTTTTAAAAGCTTTTGTACCTCATCTAGGATCACTTGATTTTTGAAGGATCCCTGCTTCCTCTTCTTCTGCTTGACAGGTGGATATGAGGGGTCCTCATTCAGTTTGTGAGTCATCACCTACGGTGGTATACCTGTCATATCTGAATGCGACCAAGCAAAGGAATGTGCGTTAGCTTTTAAAAATTCAATTACCTTACCTTTCATTTATGTGCTCAGATATTCTCCGATGTAAACTTTTTTGTCTGGCCAGTATTTAAATAGCACCAGCGCTTCGAGTTCTTTGGTATTTGTCTTAATATTTTCATAATCTTCTAGCTCTTGAATAACATCGGGTCTCGATTCAACATCAATTTGTCCTAGAATGCCTTCAGTTGAGGTTTGTATTACAACATCCTCAACTAAACTCTGTAACTGCTATTTCTCGCCTGCAACATCGTTTACCGTGCTGGTAGCCACCACTGAATTGATACTTCTAGAAGCTTGTTGATCTCCGCGGATTTGACGAATCCCCCACTGTGATGGAAATTTGATAACTTGATGCAATGTGGACGGTACAACATCCATATCGTGAATCTATGGTCTTCCTAGGATTATATTATAAGCCATATCTGCATATATCACCTGAAACTTTGTGTCCTTGATAACCCCTTCTGGAAACGTAGGAAGCACTAGTTCCCCTTTTGTGATAACACTTGAATTATCAAATCCAGACAAAGACCGTGCCTTTGGTATCACCTTGTCGTTAGCTTGAATTTCTTCCACCACTCTTAGTAAAATGATATTCACGCAACTACCTGGGTCAATCAAAACTCGTTTTACGTTAGTATCGTGTACAAGTAAAGATATTACAAGTGCGTCATTGTGAGGAATCATCAAGTCGTCCGCATCTTCGTTATCAAATGTTATATTGTCTCCTTCCAAGGCTTGGCGTATTCGCTTACCGTGAGTGACTATGACTTTTGACGTCTTCTTCGCAGCTGTATAAGTCAAACCATTGACCTCGTCTCCCCCGGTTATTACGTCAACTGTTCTTTTTGGAGATGGAGGTTTCGAGGTTTTTTGTCTGTTCTTCATATATGATTGTCTACCCTTCTCGCTGAACAGGTCAGTTAGATAACCTTGATTTAACAAATGGTCAACCTCTCCTTGTAGTAACCTGCAATCTGTTGTTCTGTGGCCATGATCGTTGTGAACTTCACACCAATAATCTGGATTTCTTTTGCTTAGGTCTGATCTCATTTCTTTAAGCCACCGCACCTTATCTCCCATACCTCTTGAAACAACCACCAGTTTGG